AAGAACCAGTAAAACAAGGCACGTGAATTAGGATAACTCTTGGAAACCAAGAAGTCCAGCTTGGTACATACTGGGATCTACCCTGTATACTGAGTCTAAGGCAGGGGATTGAATTTGAACTGATTATATTTGAAATTCTCTCTCTCTCCAGACGTCCATTTCCAAAAGTCTTTGCATGGCTCTTCTCTAAGGCAAATTAAGAGTCTCCCAGCCTGAGCAGGGCAGGAATATGCACCAGAATTTAGCGTGTACAATTTTCAAGCACTCATGTTGGCCCAACTCTGCTGCCATTGAAGTCAACAGGAACTTTACCATTACTCCTGCCTGCTCCACCTGGGGAGACCAGGGCCGGCTCTAGGCACCAGCGCTCCAAGCATGTGCTTGGGGCAGCACTTTCCAAGGGGCGGCACTCCAGCCCCCCCCCTTTTTTTTTCTTGGGGCACAAAAAGCCGAGAGCCAGCCCTGAACCAAGATGTTCCCTGTCAGCTGAGGCTTTCAGGCTGAGCTGGAACTGACGCTGCAGGTCTGGCTGCAGTCGCTAGATGGTGCTCATGGCAGCCTGAACTGCAGCCCAGCCTGGGTGTGAGGAGCCGGGGGCGGGAGGGAGGGAAGTGGGGCCCGGGATGCAGGGAGGGAGGAGGGGTCCTGCTGCCGCTGCTGCTCTGAGTCTCCCCAGGGCGGCGCGGCATTTCCCTGCCCAAGTGGGCTGTGCAGGGCGCCGCCGGGCTGGGCAGGGGGCGCGGATCCTGGCTTGCGCGCTGACAGGGCGAGTGGCTGGGCAGCCCGAGCTGCCAGGGAGCTGCTGCCGCCGCCCCCTCCTGCCCCCGGACCCAGCCCACCGTGCACCTCCCCCGCCTCAGCCCCGCGCTGCCTGCCCTGGGCTGGGAGAGGCAGAGCCCGGCTCCGAGCAGGGCAGCGGGGAATACTGCCCTGCCGGAGGACCCCCGCGGCTCGGGCACCTGGGGGTCAGTGTCTGTCCTCTCGGCTCTGCCTGCACGGGGCTGGGGAAGCAGCTGTCAGCGCCTGCCCCTCTCAGCCCTTGTACCCCCCATCCTGCTCGCAGCCCCTCCACTTGTACCTCCCCCATCGCTCCTTCACCACACCCCCTTCCCCTTGTACTCTCCCTTCACCCACACCTCTTCCCTTGTACCCTCCCCCAGCCCTCTCCTCCCGCACCTCCCCCCTTCCCTGCACCTCTTCTAGCGCAACCTTCCTGATACCCCCTCTCCTTCTCCACCCTCCTCCGCGAGTACATCACACCCCGCTTCTCTGCCAGTGTAGAGCCCCCAAGCACCCCCACACCCGCTCCTCTGCCTGAACCTCTTTACTAGATCCCCATCCCTTTCTGGGTACAAGGTTTGAGGGTTAGTCCCTATGCCTTCCATGTGCATTTGGAGCACTAAAGATGGGGTTGCGGGGGCGAGATTTATACTAAAGTGAAATAAAAATAGGAGAAATGGTTTGATCCCCACTGCAAGTGTAAACAGGGATTGCTGTGGTGAACAAGGTCATGTTTGGCGGGGGAGCTCAGGGCTGGGGCAGCAGGGGGTGCGGGTGGGGGGGGGAAGATAGCCCAGGGCTGGGGCGTCAGGGGGTGCGGGTGGGGGAGGGTACTGATGGGGGGGGGGGGAGGGCCCAGGCCGGGGGGGGGGGGCAGCCAAATTTTTTTTTTTTGCTGGGGGCGGCAAAAAACCTAGAGCCGGCCCGGGGGGGGAGACACATGTTACATTAGCTCAGAGGCATGCAAAGACTTTGAATACCCCACTCGTGAAGTCCCAAATCGGCCACCTAGCCTGAAAAGTGAATCTAATAGTTTGGGAAGATGGGGTGAATATAGAGAGCTGTGTCTCTTCTGTTACGTGTTCTTTAAAATTAGAGGTTTGCATTCAAAATTAAGAGGCTTATGAGATTGTGAATTGCCTCAGCAATCCCTGGAAAGAGGTCAGACCCTTCTTTTCCATCTGATCTTAAAAAGAAATCTATCCTCTTTTTCTCCTTCCTCATCCCCGCTCAGCACTTGCATCAGTGATGCCTGGGGAAGAAACTGGAGTTCCTTTAACCGGAAGAAGATGCGGTGATGGTGATACAATATGGAAAATAAGCGAGACCACCACCCCACATCCAGTGCTTCCCCATCTGTTTTTTTTTTGTTTTTTTTTTGAATGGAGTTCTGCTGTTTGTGCTAGATCTGCTTCTGGGCACAAGGAGGGAGATTTTTCCAAAACTGGCAGCTCTTTTGGCTACTCTAAATATGATGTAATTTCCTCAACGGTTTCTTAGGTTGCAGAAAGGATCACATGACATCTCTGTGGCTTCAGATAGTGAGAAAGGTGAATGCTGGGTGGGGGGTGGTGCTCCCCAGCCAGCATTAGGTGGGGCACCTTCTTAGGCGGCACTAAGAAGAAATTTTAAAAATGCAGAGTCCTGAGTAGGAGGGTAAGGATGAACTGCTTGGCAACATTGCAGGATCCTGCCAGACAGAGATCCACCGCAATGTTGTTGAGACTCTCTCCTAGATGCTTGTGTGAATGAGCATTTCAGTGGAGAAAATGATGGGTGTTTGACAACCAAGACAATGTGTCATTGACCTGCAATCCAGGGAGTCTCTATAGCAGCCTCCTTTTGGAGCACCAGGCACAGCAGTGGTAGGGGGAAGTGTATTTGGGGGAGTTATGGTATAAGTACTTGTGAAAGGGCTGTACCAGGTGATTCAGAGTCTCCACCTTAGCTGTTCACAATCCCACCACTTTGCCAGCAGGTACCACAACCAACCCCAATTTGCCTGTCCTCCCAGATCCACATTGCTCTTTGCACCCTCACAGCCTGTGTAGTCCAGGTATCTGCTGGTCTCCTGAACCTATGTCTTGTTCCAACAGGTTCATCTCCTGTCCAGTCAGCCACCCAGGCATGGAGAGAACAGATGCCCAAGGCTTCGCCGTACTCTTTCTTCTGGGGCCCTCTCTGCCAGTGTCCCTAGCAGAGCAAATGTCTCTCTTACAGAATCACACAGGCAAGCTGTCAGCAGATGTCTCCATTATGTACATGCCCCCGCATACAGACACCTCTTCTACTGCTACCACTGAGATCTTTGAGGCCCCTTCTGCCTTCTCTCCATCTCAGTCTGTGTCCCTACTTTTTGGTGCAGCGCAATAGATGATTCACCTCATCACATCCATCCTGAAGAGGAGAGACCTTGACAGCCCCTCTCCACCCAAACTAATGCAAAAGGGTGGGAATGATGTGCTCCCATAGGGGAAAGCACCGGCATGGAATCCCAGCTTGTGAATCTTTTGTGGACTTTGTGACATCTCCTGGCCAGTATTCAGGATGACTGTTGATGGATGCATGGAAGATATGAGCCAGTCACACAGCTAGCTTCTGGGATATGGTGAGCAACACATGGGCAAAAAACCCCCCACAAACAAACAAACAAACAAAAAAAACCCCCAAAGCCTTGTAGGAGGGTTGGAGAGTTTAGGATAAGAAATGTGGCTCTAACACAAATTTATGTGTCACTTCAACAAGGCGTGGCCAGTACATCCAATTATAGTTTTCACTGTGTAAGGAAAGACCAAGCCTGTTTTCAGTTCAATGGAAGCCCAAGTAGCAACATTGTGGACTGAGTTACAATTTTGGTAGGAACTGAGGTTGGAAGGACATTGCCAAGATTTTTGGCTAGGATTTTTTGGTCTAACTTAATTAGTGCATTGGGGTGATAGATGATGTCATTAGTCTCCTTTCCCTGCTTAAGAATTCAGGGCAGATGTGGTGTTTCAGGAAGACAGGAGCCTCCAGGGAGGTGAGATCAGACAGAATTCATCCTCATCTAATGGGACGTTGGACATCTTGGGGAAAGGAACTGAAAGAACTGCACTGAGCTGTGTGGAATTGTTGGGGATATATCTGTGTGACTCGTACTACGCTGCTGAACTTCTAAGGCATCAGACTATCTGTGTGCACAGCTGCCATTTTGTGAAGTAGAGTAGATGTAGCATGTTCTACGGAAGACGTGCACTGTGTTCTCTCTCACTGAGCTTTCAGTACTTGTTGCTTCCTTTGATTCAGGTTGCGCGCTGGGGGTCGACAATGGTCCCATCGACTGCCGCTAGCTGTTCATAGGCCCGGCTAAGGGTAGGGTCGGCTCTCTGGTCTTGGCAAAAATCGGTATGGAGTAAGGGTTCGACAGAGGGCTCCGGCAGGGGATTCTATTTCCTCGGTCCCTGCCTTGGGTTCTGGGGTCCCGTCGTCGTCCTCCGGTAGGGCCTCGTGACACTCTCCTTCCAGCGCTGGGGTCGAGTGGAGAATCTCCTCGAATGCGGGCCAGTCCCGCCCCAGGATCACTGGGTATGCAAGTTGGGGGGCCAGGCCGACAAGGATTAGTCGGGTGACCCCGGCCACTGTTAACGGGACTCAGGCACTGGGGTAGGGCCGGACATCGCCATGGATGCATTGCAGGCGAATTGTTCCCAAGTGGGCATCCGCCCAGGGTCCCAAAGCCTGGCGAATCAGTGTCTGGCCGCAGCCGGAGTCTATCAGGGCCTGGGTGGGATGGTCTCCAACAACTACCGGAACCGTGATCTTGGGAGCCTGTGGTAGCTGGGTCCTGATGTCCCCTGCACAGACCTGGCCGAAGCTGCAGTCCATTTCCATGCAGTCCCGCTGCAAATGTCCAGATTTCCCACAATGAAAGCAGGGCCCGAGTTCAGGGAGACCGCCCCGGGTGGGGGCTCCGATTGGACCCCTGGGGGGACTCCGATGGGTCCTCAAGACACTCGGCATGGGGGGGGGGCCGCACAGATCCTGGCTGAGGGGGGAGTTCGGGCATCTGACCTGGAGCCCCAGGCAAGCCTCTTGCCCGCGAGGAAGGCTCTGCGGCCTGGTTGGGGCCTCCCCCTTTTTTTCAGTGTTAGGGCGTTCTGGCCCGGGGGGTTGGGCTCGGATAGTGGGCCCCACCGGCGTTTCGGCCGCGAGGAAGTCTTCCATCAGCGTAACGGCAGCTGTTAACGTCGCTGGCCAATGGCGGAGCACCCAGGCCCGTCCTCGGGCCGGGAGATGTGCACGAACTGTTTTAGAATGACTTGTTCCGTGACTTCCTCTGCCGTCCTCCTCTCCGGCTGTAGCCACCACCTGTATGCTTCCTTTAGGGCTTGGGCCACCAGCCGGGGCCTGGTGCCTGTGGGGTATGTCTGGCTTTGGAACCGCTGCTGAAAGGTATCTGGGCTGATATCCAAGGCGTCCAGGATCGCTGCCTTTACCTGGTTATAATCCCTTGCCTCTTTCGTAGCCAGCCCCCGGTATGCCGTTTGGGCAGTCCTGGTCAGGTAGGGGGCTAAAAGAGTGGCCCATTGGTCAGGAGCCCACCCGGCGAACAGTGCCACCCTTTCAAATGTTACCAAAAAAGCCTCGGGGTCATCGTCAGGTCCCGTCTTGGTTAGTCGCACTGGTGCGGTGGTGCGTGGTGACCCAGCCACGTCTCCTGGCTGCGGGTCCACGTGTTGTGGTAACGCCGTCACCAGCTGTTGCAGCTGGGCTCCTAGCTGCTGAATGAGCTGCTGCTGGAGCTGGGCAGCTGCCTGCTGCCCCTCCTGGTTCTCCGTCAGAAGCTTAAACAGTTGATCCATCTCCATGGCTCTCTCGGGGTGGCTCTCCCCCTCTGGGCCCTTGTCACAGGAGCCGAGGGATCATGCCTGCGTTCTCCACCACGTGTACAAGGGTTAGCCGGGGCTCGACCCTCTTCGGGGCGGCGGGGAGCCACACCGGCTCACTGCACACAGTTGATGTTCGGGGGAATTAGTCTGTCCGCGGGGGTCTCCCTCAGCAGCCCTTTCGGCAACTGGAATAAGCACCGTAAACCCAGGCCCTGGGTCAGGGTGGGGCAACAATGAGTCAATGGCTCAGGCCCTCAGGCAGGGTGGAGCAACTGCAGTTCAATAGGAATAAACCCCGGCCCAGAGTCAGGGCGGGGCAGCAATGAATCAGACACTAAGGCCCCTCTGGCAGGAGCCGAGCAGGGGCAGTATAAACAGTAGCAATAAGCCTAGGCATTAGGTCAGGGCGGGGCAACAATGAGTCAGGGGCTCAGGCCCTCAGGCAGGGCTGAGCAGTGACAGTACAAACAGTAATGAGTCAGGAGCTCAGGCAGAGCTGAGCAATGACAGGAGGCCCAAGCCTCCAAAAGGCCTGGGAGAGGGGGAGACTGCCACCCAACTCGTGGGTGGCAGTGGGGACGCAGGCCCTCCCACTCCACTGCGTCCCAGCCTGGGACCCTAGCAGTGGCAGAAGACCCGCTGCTGTGTCAGTGGGGATCTTGGCTGCAACACACTGACATGGCCTCTGACAGTGTTGCAGCCAGACTAGGGTCGGCTGCCCCCGGGCTACTTCCTACCTCCCCCTTGGGTCGTACCTGTGTCAGGGTGTTGTCCTCTGGGGGGTCCCACCCCATGGGTTCTTCGGGGCAGTGGGCAAGCAGCAGGCCCGGCAACTCCTCCTGATAGCGAGCGCAGGGCAAGTCAGGCCAGTCCTGGCCTGCACCTTGGGCCGCGGGGGTTTCCCAGTCATGGGCTAGGCTGGAGACGTCTGGCCTCCCCGGCTGCTGGGCCTCTAGTGAGCTCTGAGGGTGAGCCTTTATACTTCCGGGTCGCCGCCTTACCCTCTGAGGGGTGGGCTAAGAGCTCCCTAGCTCCGCCCACTCCAGCCTGTGGATGGGCTCGTCCCGCTCCGGGGCGGCGGGGAGCCACACTGCCTCACTACAAGGTGCAGTTTGGTTCTAGCAGGTGACTGTTTAGCTGGGGAATGTCTGTTTGTCAAGCAGAGTGTTCTGTGAAACAGGCCTCTCCTTGGATGGTGAACATTTAGCTCTGATTCTCCCCATTAGGGTTCCCAGTGCCCCAGAACAGCCTCCTGTGCTCCCCACTGGTGCCCATCAGCTGCCAGCAGCATCTGGCTGGTTTTGACTGCGGCTTCACTCCCAAGAGAACTGTCCCCTTCCTTCTGGAAAGGAGGCTGAATTGTTCCCAGCTTTCGCTTAAAGGCACCATAATGCACATAACAAAGGGTTGCAACACAACTGTGTGGAGCGGTCACAATTTCAGGCGTCTCTTGCTAAGCTATGGACTTTATTTTGGTGTAGTGTAAGCATTTGCTGATTATTGACCTATCTCCTCGCTGCACTGTAGAAAATCAGAATGCCCCTCTGAATCCCCAGGTTCTGCTGCATCTGTATATGAGTGTGCTGGTGTGTGTTTGCATAGGTCTTTGTATGACTTCCTGTGTGTGAACATGCATGTCTGTGTTCATGTGGCTATGTGCATGCATGCCTGCATATCTAGTTCCACACAAGTGCATGAGTGCGCCTCATTCATGGAGCACTTTTTCCCAGAGGTTGGCTGAAGTCTAGGTGCAGGTGAGGCAGGAAGCTTAGACCACCAGCAGAGGATCTTGTGAGCTGTGCCCAGCCATCCAGTGGTGCAAAGATTTCGGGGGCGGGGTGGGAGGGGAGACATTAGAGTTGTCCCTTGATAGCCCCACTTGATTGTGGAGAAGGCAGCACATGTGATAAAGAACACTTGGGAGAAATATACCCTTATGTCAGCACTGGCTGTTTGAATGCAGTAATTTCCTAGATTGCATCAATCGTATTTGAGCGCCACTGTTTGCGTCCCCAGTGTTTGCTCTGCTGGTGGATCAAGAGCGACACTAACTATGGGGTAAAGGGTGCTGTCTGAAATTGACCTTATTTCCAGGACCTCTGCAGGTACTCTACTACCTCTGGAGGCAGCTTGGCTGATGGGGAGAGAGCTGTGCCTGCCAGGCCAGGAGAGAGGCTCCTAGGAATTGCTGTCATTGCTAGGGCGGTGCTGCAGGGTGTCTGTGGGCACGCCTGGATGTACTGCTTGCTGTGTGCCCTCTGCTAGCTAGAGCGTTGGGCCTGCTCATGTGTGTGTGCGCACGTTGTCCTTGAGGCCCACGGTGGCTATAAGCCCTAACGCTAGAACAGTTACCAGAGATGTCTTTACCTCAGGTTAGGGTATGCCTGCACTTGGAGCTGGAGGTGTAAATCCACCTCGAGGGCACATACCCCGAGCTAGCTCTGAGCAAGCTAGCATGCTAAATATAGCAGAGTATCCACAGCAGTGCAAGCCATGGGAGAGGTTAGCCGAGTCAGTACGTGATCATCCAAGACACTAGGCCTGTATTCGGAGCGGCTAGCACCCTGCCGTGTGCCACTGTGGCTACACTCCATATTTCGCGTGATAGCTCGATGGGAGCTGGTTTGGGTATGTCTCCTCAAGCTGGAATTTATACCTCCTGCGTGAAGTGTAGACATATCCTTAGAGGGGCCTTTGCAGCAGAAGGATCTGGGTTCTATCCCTGCTAATGATTGTGAAATCCACGTGGTCCCAGTGAGAGGAATAGCCGCGGTCCGTGCATTATCAGTATGCCACCCTTCAGAAATCATGAGCCGGGCCCCCAAAATCATGACACTTTAAAAGTAACTAAGTCGAGGTTCTTTTTCTTTGCCTTCTGGTTTCTGAACATTTCGTGTGCACTCAGGTCACATTGCCAAGCTTTTCTCTGCAACCCGTGGAACTAGAAACTTTTTAAATGAACGCTCTGAGTCTCCCCTAATCCCATGATTCTATACTCCTGGGGGAATTCTGCGCCATTGCACAATGCAGAATTTTGCAGAAATTAACACTGTATGCGCAGAATTTCCTTCCTCACCTCCCCAGAAATAGGCTGCAGAGCTGCTAGCCACCACTAGGGGCTGCTGGACCTGGCAGAGCCCAGTTCGCACATAGAAGACGCAGCTGGGGGGAGGGGGAGGGAGCTAGAGGGTTCCCAGCATGCCCTGAGGGAAGGAGAGGACAGTGCGCAGGAAACTCTGTGCAAGCCTGGGACCGAGCATCAGGCTATTTCTCCCTCTGGATCACTGGGTTCTGGGGGAGAAAGGAGGGCGGGTATCTGGACTGTGGGGTGCCATGGCTGAGCTCTAGGGAGGAAGGGGTTTGGGTGTATTGGCTGGGGGGGGGGGGGGGTGGGGGGGCTGGGGGGGGGGGGGGTTGTGGGTGTCAGGCCCCCCTGGCTGGGCCCTGGGTGGGGAGTAAGGGGGCAAAGAAACAGGAACTGGGTTGTCATACAGGTTTCTTTAACTCTCTATTCCTGGGGGATTTATTGTGTGTTGGTATTGTTCCAGACATACTTGCTGATAGGTATTTTGAAATAAATGACCAAAATAATTGAAACTGGTGCGATTATGTAGTGTTATTTCGAGAAATAAAATTAGCAGACTTTTTAATTTTGGGGCACAGAATTTTTAATTTTTTGGTGCAGAATGCCCCCAGGAGTAATTCTAGGAGCTGGGGGGTTCCAGAAAAATGTGACAATGAGACTTGTGATAAAATCACAAGAGATGGCAACGCTGTAACTATGCAGCCATGAAAATGTTGGCACCCGCTGAGGGCAGAGAGTGGTTCCCAGGAGCTTGAGCATTGGGATGGGCTGCAGCATCTCTGTGGGCATGTTGGGATGGCTCTACTTTTCCACGAACGAGGACCCTGGGAACTGTTATTGCCCCTGGGAAAGGTTTGCATGCCTCCTCTAGGCAGCCTCTCCCTTCCTCACCCACAGTGTGTCTCTGGTGTGCCAGGAAGGGAGTTCCCAGGCCCCAAGCTGATTGTTTAGAAGACATGTCATGACTAAACAGAGGGGTGAAAGGGTGAAAAATAGATCCAAAGAGTTTGACTAAAACCTGCACCTGCTTGAAGAAAGGGGCAGGGAGAATTGGAGGCAGAGGACCCCTGCCAGCTGGCAAGAGGTGAATAGAGAGCGGGGATGAGAAGAATACTGCTGAGATAAAACTTGTTCCCATCGTCAGCCAATGGAAAATAACAAAGGCCTCCAGGGGCTGAAGGGGCAGAGTAAATACTAGCCTGTCAAGCTCAGCATCAGTCCCTTAGGAGTGTCGGAGTTCATGGCCCATGTCTGGCAGGCATGTTGTGTGCCTGGCAAGCTGAGAATGGATTCCAAATAGATGAGTGATCCTCCAGAGGACAGCCTCAGTGCGAAAGGCACTGGGTGGCACCCTTGGAAACTCAGGTCCCTCTCCATAGAATAGGTGGAGTATGGGCAACAGTGCTTTGGGCTTCTCAACCTGCTCTCTTTCCATTTGCTTCATGCTGGACCAGGAGGGACCACTTCTAATGTGGCCCAGTCTGTTCTCGGCCTCTTTGTTGAGACAGCCTACAAGGGGACATGGTGCTTTCTGACATCAATGGTGTAGGAAAATCCTTCCCCAAGGATGGGCTCCTCCCATCTAAAGCAACTTGTAAATTATCACTGGAAACACCACTATGAATGGCAAAGGCGGCCAAACCTTTAGATAATGGGCAGCGAGGGATCAAACCATGCACCCTGATGAGGTGACTAGAACTGAATTTAATGTTCTACATGTGGTTGTACCAGAGCCATCTGAAGGACTATTCCTCCCCAGTCCAGGACATAATACTTTTGTGTACACAGCTCAAAAGTGCATTGGGTTTATTTTGCTACCAAGTCTCTTTGCAAACTCATGTCTGATTTACTTTCCATTATAGCTGCTAGGTGCTTTCAGCTAGGGCTCGGAAAC